GAAAAGGAGAAAGAAAAAAAAAAACCATACTTCTACCTTTCAGGAGGAACAATAGTTTGCAAAAGGCGTTGCATGACACAGCTAGATAGATAATAGCAGAAGACCACACCCTAACACCAGAAAGTTTTTCCTAGACTTCACTGTTTTTTCAAGGCCACTCTAAAACTTATCTGTATGGAAAAGCATATCCTATACTTATTGTTTCTAAAACCCTCTAAAGCTCCTCAACCACAAAACCTAAACCAAACAAACCAGTAACTTCTCTGAGCTTTCTCATTGCTGCAGACATCCAACAAAACATCAGAGATGAAATTTTGAGCTAACAGTTCTTAGTTGTTTTATATCTGAAAACATGCCTGGGCTAATACAGACATTTTGACTTGAAAAAGGCTGTATTTTATGACCTAGTCTCCCTCCCCCCACCCAAAGACATCTGACAGCCTAACATCCATACAGAGGAAAATGACTCTGCCATTTGTGAAAAACAGTAACAGAAAGTTGTAACTAGAAAGTAAGCAACATCATTGTGAAACAGGGCACCTACGAAGGAAAATATTTTCTTTATAGGAACTGGCAGGAGTGCCAGTAGTGTGAACATTATAATCAAGGGAGAAAAACGGTTATACAGCAGCAGTAATAATAAACTGCTAAAGATATAAAACCACTGTTTTCAGGAACAGCTTCAGGAAACTCTGAAATATGCATAACCCAGAACAGAATATATACCAGAAGCATAAACGAAGTTTTGGGGAAAAAAAAAAATTTAAATATGGTAGACCAGAATAGAAACAAAAGACATGATCCTGTCAGAACTTATTTCAGAAACATAGGCACACTGAAAATTAAATTTTTGTGAAAGCCTAGTATTAAGAAATTTAGCAAATTCTTTTAACGTAGCTGTAAATGGATATAAAATTATTCAGCTCCTATTAAATGCCATGAAATTTACTATGGAAGTGGAATGCTTAGCAGTGGCACTGAAGTTGCCAAAGTACAGAGGATGCTGACACCTACCACCACAGTTCAGAGAGTTGCCTTTCAGGTCTAAGTGCACTTACAACAAAATAGCTGAGCTACTAGAAAAAAAATGTTGTGAGAATGGTAGATATAAAGGGTTTTGCTCACTGAAAGTTTCAGATATAAAAAGCAGCAAAATGAAGTTAAATCCCCTATTCTCAGTAAATCAAAAAAACCTTGCTTTGAAGAGCCATATAATGACCCAATTAACCAGACAAGTGCACACAAACCCAGTGAAGTACAACTTCAGACTTGAGTATCATTTGAGTAGCATAACACAGACCAGCTGAATACTGCAGTACTAATCAAAAGACAGAGCAAGATGCTAAGATCAAACAGCAGTAAAACCCATCAAACTACTGTTTTTACTCATCATCTGCTCTTACCATGCTGGTTACAGTCATATTTCTTTCCTACCACAAAGGTCTAGAAGTTCTCTAAAGGGGTTAATATTAAGTGCTAGGAGCAAGTATTAGAGGTTTGTACTTTGAAACATGTATGACTTCAGATGGAAATCATACTATAGGCAGTAACAAACAACACTGACAATGGAAGTTCGTGGTTTAGATTTGATTTGCATATTAAAGACACTGATGAAGTATATGCAAATCTTCATAGTTGATATATTTTTACACGATTAACCCATGAAATTTCATTTCCTGAAAGTACTATAAGATTAGATGCAACTGTTCCAAGTTTACACATTAGATTTTAACTGTTTCACACTGACTCCTCTTGAACAGCTTCAGTACTCTAGACCTCTAAGACACTTGGAGTTTTTTGCCCAAGTTCCCCCGACAGATTGCCATTTATTCTACCTATCAGGTTACTCTGAGCTACAGAAAGAATAACAAATACCTCTGTCCTGTTGCGTTGGTCCTAGGTTAGAAATACAATATCCCTATGAACTGAAGGAACTTGCAAAGAGTAACTTTGTGCCCCTCTGTGGACTATCAGCATTTCCTGTTCACCAGGTCAAACCACCTTTCTCACCTCCTTGCTGCCCCTCAATTTATCCTCACTAGAAGGTCTTCCCCTGCATTCTGCTTTTTAGACTAAAAGTTCCAGTGCACAACCTGTATTGCACATGTCCCTCATACTACTCAGTAATACTGAATGCAGTGTTAAGTGCTGATATAGAAACACCAAGTCTATTCAGACCTCAGGGGAAAAGAAAAAAATTATTGACTGAACTAGCTAACTGTAATGTTTAAGTGTATCAGAAGACATTAAGTTACAGTGAAATGGAAGGTTTTCCTCAAGGCATGGCAAGGTGCTTGTGGCTTCCATGCCAGTGAATCCTCTGTGATAAAACACAGAAGTTCTTGAAAAACATTTTCTGTGAGTTTTATTGCTTTAAACAATCAAAAAAGTCTTATTAAGAACTGCAAAGTGCAAGTACTGAGTACATTCAATCAATGGGAAAAGTCACTATACATATTTCCCCTACATCAAAACATAGAAAGGAATACATTTGAGATTAATGATTACTATGATACACACCAACTTTTAAAAATGGAAAGAACAAAATAACCAGGTTAATCAGTATGATATGTACACTGACCTGAGTAAGATCTGGAATGTCACCCTGATCAATTCCAACTTGCTGGGTTTACAGAAAAAGAGAAGGAAAAAAAAAGTACATTACTACATGCAGTGGCAATGAAAATAAACAGTGATGTTACATAGAAACTAACGTTAAGAAGGGATATTTGTAACTCTTTGAACTGCTATGAGTTTCACTAGGAATACACCTTAGAAATTAAAAGTGCATTTCATTGCATCTCAAAGCAAACCTAAGTTTTCATCCAGCCTAATTTTTTCATGCAGAAAAGCTTACAAGGAGCATTAGGAACACCCACGTTGCTTACTGGAACTACTTTTCCATTTTGAGCAGTTACAGTAAAGGAGATACATATATACATTGTAACACTCTGTTCATACATTTTGGGCCATTCATGACATAACAACACTTCAGCAAGTGTACTGTTTTGTCTGGCTAATAAAAAGGATACCCACGAATCTAATCTCACTTCATGTTAATGAGTCTCTACAGTCTGTAAAATACCTAATCTGTAAAATACTTCCTTGTATTGTGAAGTTAAGCAAACATTAATCTGTTTGTGAAGTTGTTATTACGAATATAGACTACCGTAGCAGTACAGACAGCTGAATGATATCTTTTTCATAGACATAAATTTATTTACCTCTGCTACTTTGAGGAATTCTGACAATTTGGTCATTCTGGCTAGAAATTTTTTGTAAATATCCAAGCCTTCTTTGCACTGGTTCTTCTTCATATCAAAATATCTTTCTGAGGATGCAAATAACACTCTTGTAAGGTAACAGCCTCCCCAGCAAAAACCTGACACAGCATTATAAAAGTTAATTCAAGACAAGCTTTACGGAGAGAACTGACATTATTAACTCAGTTATTCAGATTTCAAAGTTTAGAAGAATACCTGACACCTTTTGTAATAAGTCGGTCAATAGAAAAATAAATGTTTTTCTATTTCAGTACATTAGAATATAATGCGAAGCTTTATTAAGCATGGATGTGAACCACTGCAATTGTTAAATTAGGTATTTAGGGGAATATTTTCAAGAAGTCATCTTATTAGCTGGCAATGAGGCAAATTATTTCATAATTTAAAAACATTCCTGGTATTTATTTACATTTTTAGACCCTGTATCGACATGTTTTGATGTTTCTAAAAGGGCCTAATATCCAAAAGACATAGAATGGCTACTGAAGTGGTTCATATACTGAACTGACGTACCAAAAGGAGTATCAACCACATCCTTCACTTTTTATGGTTTTGCTGTATATACTCATAGATAATTCATTGAGTAAAAACTAGTGGATTAACAGAACAAACTGATCAGATGTTTTCATTCAGAAATTTGCTTAAAATAGCCACTGTATGTCTTTGCTAAGAGGTTATCACTTGAACAAAAAATCCTACATGTCATCTACTAGACTCATGTAGATTCAGGTACCAGGTAAAAGTGAAAAATCAAGCTACAAAGAAAGTATGGGAAACCAGAAGTCAGCCATACTGTGACTATACTAAATACTCAAAATAACAGGTACCTCCCAAATACTTTTACAGTCCAGTTGCCAAAGGTTATCCACTGCACATTTGGTATTTTGTTTTAGTCTCACCAGTCACCCCCTCATCTCAACTTCTGTTTCAAGATGCATTCTTCAAGGCAGAAGCGTATATTTAAGCCTATAACTAAGCGTATATTTAAGCCTATAAACTAAGACAGGCTTAATGGAGCAGAGACAATCTATTAGGAAATTGCAGTCAGAATCTTTAGTTCTCTCAATATCTTTCACAAAAGTTAAAAAGCTAAAAAAATTCTCACATACCTAAAAGATTAATAATCCCCTCATTGTATGCTGCAAAAAGTCTAATGGAATCTTTAAAGAGGAGCATAAAGGCAGCATTTATAACACCATTTGTTAGTTCATTTGGATTTGCCTGTGTAGAAAGCAATGAGAAAGTAAATTAGTATTTAATAAAATAATGAAACTCTCGCTTCAAAACAAGAAGGTGTTACCTAACATTGAGCTTAAAGTACTTACATCAAAATCAAGGAGCGCATCAAGCTGGTTCTGTATGACTGGAAGGGTTTTCAGAAGTTTTTCAGCATTCATGGTTCTCATCACTCCATCTATCCTACAGATTAGAAGACACATGTTTACAAGCTACCAAGAGACCTCAGCATATTACGCTGTTTCAACAATACTATATTGTTCAAAGGGCCAAAAGGAACACCAAACTATGATAAGCTCAAGAACAACTGGTACCTCCCTCCACACCCAGTATGAAAGATCCAATAAAAGAAGCAGTAATAGTCTTACCCTCTTTTCATTTTGGTGAAGTCAACTGCTACAAGTCTATATGAAAGTGCTTTTTCATTCAAGTATCTGCTATATCGCCTAATGAAGGTAGACATATCATAACCTAAAAGTTAAGCATTTGTAAGTTAAACATTTTGAAGAGGTACTGTTTCTTTTAAGCTTTTTTCAAGAACTGTTCTCCTACTAGCTCATGTTACATCAACTTGCATAAAAAGCCCTTATAGGCACTTCACTTTCCAGAGTCTTGAGATTCACTACCTTGAGATGTCATGTTACAGTTTCTTCCCAACTCAGTAAGATTAGGAAAGCTTCACTGCAATTATGAGACTAAACACACTGAAATATCAGGCAAGAACCAACCATAAAATATTAGGGAAGAACCAAACAGCTCTTATTGAGATGTTCTTGAAATCCGACTAAAAAATGTATTCCTAGTAAAAATGCTAAAGACTTTGGTAACTTATCTGCAATGCCTCAAAAACTGCATAAAAACACAAAAGTGTTTTCTACCATTGGCAAGTAATTAAAAGACTTCTCAGAGATTTGAAGGAGTTCTCACTGTTTATGTGGCACATCCTAGTTATCATTCCATGCACCTTAACGGTAAACATTTACTCCTAAGACACTAAAATGCAACGGAAAAAATGTATCATTGTGCTAATATTAATCAGATTTATTCTAGTCAGCATTAAGAGTTCACTTTTTAAAATTTACAGGTGTGTATGCACATGATACATACATTACAGACAAATTTCTAGCACTCAGCTAGCTAACTCAGAATCTCGCTTTCCTGATGTCTGCATTCTTGGTTGTTTGGTGCCTCGTGCAATATAAATTGTAATGCCCTTTCATTTAGATGTGATTTGGCTCCTAGAGCACACCGCCACAGGCACTATCACAGACCTGAAAATCAGTAATTTCCTTCAGTGAAAGATCCTTACCCTGCATGGCACTTTTGTCCAGGTAGTTATTTAAATTGAACAAAGTGTTTCGGGATGCAAGATACTGGATAAAGCGCTGTTGGTGAAGAAAAAAAAATAGAGACCATCATTGTTGTGAGAGTCAAAACATTTAAGCATATTACAGGAAAACTACACTTACCTGGTAACTGTTTCTAGTAACGTCTACCAACAACAGAAATTAGTTAAAAGTGAAAAATTTCAAGGAAAACTGGAAGCTACTCATTAGCAAAGCCTCTGAAATCCAAAACTCTATTTGGCAAAAATACAAATTTAAACCAAATAAAAAGATATCACTGCCTGTGAATAGAAGACCAATAGTCCTAAAGGAAGCTGCTTAGGTTAATTTTGTAGTTCAGAACAGGCAAGCTAGAAAACACAAAACAAAATTACCACTCACATTATCCAAGCTCCCAAGGTTTACATAGCTCTACAGCTGTTTTAGAAGCGGGAGACAGGCTTAGTTACAAAGTTTAAAATTAATTAGTTACAGTAATGCTTCTGGAGCTGTGGTGAGCAGCAGCACTGGGGTTGTAATTTTATCTATAACTATCTTAAAAATAATGCTGTCATTTGACTAAACAACATTTAAGTTTGTCAAGTAATAGCTGACTCCATAAATAACACAAGACACAAACACATCCAGATGGCAAGGTAGTTTTAAAAGTTCCTCTGCCACTGTTCCACACCGATCTCCAATGATTGTGACCTCTTGACTTTCTTGCTTCTTTCTACGTGTTTTAGTCCATAAAAAGAGGATTATGATCAGTATGGCTGAAGAGACTTGTTACGTCTTTGATCCGAATCCCTCTACTGCTACAGCACACAGGGCCTGTTTCCTCCACCCTCCACGGTGGAAATCCACCTGTCTGCCAGTTTTGGACTATTGCGCTCTGCAAAACTAGCGTTTTTTCAGTCAGGCTCAGTGTAACACTTGCTCTTTGGGAATTTTAATGAGGGCCTAGCACAGCAACAGAAAATCCTTCTCACAAGTACTATTTAAACTGAAAGCAGTACTTTCACCTTGCAAGGGGCCCAAATGATTCCCCAACTTGTCGCATACCACCTCATGAGTAACTCCAAATGTTTTCTCAGCCTATAACTACGGATCTCACACAAGTTTACAACAGGCAGCTTGCCTACCAACAGTTTTGGCACTGTTTTTACTTCTTATTCTGTTTTCCAGTCGATTTATCTGGTCTTTGTACATCTCAGTACTGCATTCAAAGAGATATAGAAGAAGAAAAATAGTGGGAACATGATCAGGAACGGAACAGTGACATTCAAAAGATGTCTATACACATTTCAAAATTAGCTACTGTTCTGAATCTCATTTTAAAAGGGACAAGGCTAACTCTGACTCTCCAGATGTCAGGGGTCTTGCATTGCACAATGAACAGGTGAGAGGAGTTTTAGCCCGCTTCACCCAAAACTTCTTCACAAGAAACAGGTAATCATGTTGAACAAGAAACTGCAAGACAGTGATTGCTCAGACAACATTTTGACCTTCTGCTATAATTACTTGTGCTTAAAATAGAAGTCAAACACCTGATAATTTTTTACCTGTTTAAGAAAAAGGCCTCTTAATGTAAAGGCCTCTTTATTAGAAGAGTGAGGAGTACACTCATGTTCCACCTGAAATTACAGTACTAGTGTTCCAGCCCCACTACCTCAGCAGGCATAAAGGAACTCTTTTTCAAGTTTCAAACACACCCATTCAAAGCTGAGGAGCAGTTTTGGTACAGACATAAGAATTCAACTCTTCTGCCACTACAAAACACTGTAGGGGCAAACAGATACTGACTGGTAGCCCACAACTCTCAGTTTTGTTTTGTTTTTCCCCCCACCTATGGTTCTGTTTGAGGGAGCTGGCCCCCCCCCCCCCCCCAACTCTCAGTATGTAGATATGAACTGTACTGGAAGAAGAGAGAATAAAATATACAAACTGATTTACAGCATTCAGTTTAGCCTTACACTTGGAATACGTAGTGAATTCCAAGCAGTGAATTTTACTTTGTGTTATCCTCTAATTTCAACCTATTATCTGTTGAAACTACAATTTAAGCACATAAATAACTTGGGGATGTGTTAACAAAGAGCACACTATGTTTTACAGGTCATTTCAATTACGTTCACAGAGCTTTGGAGAGAGGAAGCAACACTAAGTTTTCAGAGCAGTTTAATGGCTGGAAGCGCCACCTTTAAGAATCATCATTTCAATATTACCAGTAGTCAACAGTTATTTGTTAGGTGAATGACTACACACAAGTTCAGGTCTAAACTGTCACCTGACAAAGACAAAATTTAGTTTTTAATGAAAGGACTGTGTAAGAGAGGCTACATTTCTAATGCCATGTTATTGTCTGGGAAGCTTTTCATAAATAGTGATGAAACAATTTAAGTAAACTAAAGGCAATAGAAACCTGTTTCGGAGGAATGTTAACGGCAACAGCATATGAAGATTTAGCCCATTAGATGATGATTTGCAAGATCAAATATTCTAGTCACCATATTCCCCCCCCTTTAGTAAGCATTCTTATCTGTTAACAGGTTGGCTGCACATTTATGGAGTGCTAACAAGGCTCTTGCTGTGCTCTTACTGATAAGCGCTAGCCTAATGAAGTAAAGCCCATCACAAGTTTTTCAAGTCTATACTCTAGAAAGGTCACTCATCATTCTCTCACAACCCAATCCAGATACTGGCAGGTAAATTGCAAACACTGATGTACTTCAGTATTGAAATAATGAAGGAATTTTTTCTTCTCTGGAGAAGTTCTTTACAGCCATCAGCAGAGGAAAAACAAAGAAATTTGAAAAATTGCAGTACATATCTAATGCTTCATAGATTGAGACAATTTTTTAAAACACTGTCAAGGACACTTTAACAGACCTAATCATGTCTTACCTCGTTTCCATACATCATGAGGTGGTGTGTTGTAATTAGAGCTTTGAACACTACAACCCAGCTACTGTTTGCAGTTCTCTCAAAGAGTGTGTCTGCCAACTGCGGAATATTCACATTCATTTCATTTGTGCACTGTATTAGATCTAAATTAAAGAAGGAGGAAAAAAAAAATCAAAGCATTACAATTAGTTATATGCTCAAAGAGGATATTTTGTGGTTTTACATGAGAATTCATACTGGATGCATTAACTTCAGTTCTTTGTTTAAGGAATAATTGAACTATTTTATATTCCTTGCTCAAATTCACTGCATTTTACTGAAAGATTCCAGGTATGAACTTCAAAGGCATTTCAATAATTTTATAGAGTCCCAATATCTCATCAATAAATAACCTGCTCCAGTGGAAACTCTATGTCCAAATTATTGTCCAAAAGCCAGTATAGACCTTCTGGATGCTCAATGCCTGAAGCCACTCAATCTAACAAAAAAAATTAAGATCAGAGAAGCAAGGAAAAGCTGAGACATCTATATCTCATGAGATCAGCAAGCAGCAAGTACCCTGCAACTCAGACCTAAGCCAGAGTACTAACACACATGACAGCAAATGAGATGCTACAAACCTGTAATAAGCCTCTTTTCTATAAGAATCAGGAGCAGGAATTTGCATCTACACACCTACTGAGTGTTTTTTGGTGGATCATGGCAGGTCTCAGGCTTTTGTATTAAAAACACCCAAAACAACTCTTTCTGTCCAAGACTGATTATAAACTCAACAGTAGAACATTAGTTTGGGAAGTCAGAGACAGAGAACTTCAAGTCTCTCCCTAGTACTGGTACAAGACCATAACAGGCTCCAGCAGATACATGGGAAAAAAGCCTACCTGAGAATGCTAGTGAAAGCACTTGCTGAGAAGAGAGCAAAGAACTGAATCCAGGACTATTCTAAACCCCTCAAGACATGCACATTAGACATTTATTCTCTCTCTGAGCTAAATTTGGCTCAGGTGTGATCAAAGTACACCTTAAGGACTGGGCAAGGCCAGTAAAACAAACATCTAGTTTGAAAAGCTTCCTTTGTGGCCTCTTATTTAAGCCAAGTCTGTGAGCAGTCTGTTGGTTGCAGATGTTTATGTGGTTTGTCTGTGTCAGTACTTGAAGAAGGGTGGGTGCTTGGGAAGTTGGACAACAAATGAATACTGAGGTGTCTGCATCGCTGAAATGGCCAACTTATTTGTCTTATTAGCAGTATGTAGAGGACAGACTACATTATCATCAGCAATTTAAACATGAACTTAGAGATCACACATTGATAGTTTAGGACAAAGTATTTCATAGAAATATTTGCACTTAGAATTTTTATCTGTTCTAGTACACAGAATATATTACAGATGTATCTTAAAGATTTGTTTATTAAGAAAATGAAGTAATTTGATCAAGGATTACTGTTTAGAATAATTTAATAACAAGAGTTAATTTTAACAGAGTAAAAAGTTTTAGATAGTATGTTGTCAAGGTAGAAAGGTATAAAATGCAAATTCTAAGAAGTTACTAATTTCATTCTGATGTCAAAGGTTTCTAAATATGCAGAAAACATGCAAGTTGGGATGAAAACTTTCTTCCTTATTAGTAACACAAAAAAACCACTGAAATAACTGCACAAAAAGAAGAGCACTGAAAAGAAGTTTTAAACAAGCTATACTACTCAACAAGAAGGTTTTGATGTATTAAAATATTTCAATATTTACATATGTGAACATTCTCAATAAACAAGTCATCTGGTAGATGCTGCTTGCTACTCATAGCTGTATCATCATCAGATGCTGTGTCAAATTAAGAAGTACTTTAAAATTTCTCAAAGTCCAAACAGTCCATAGACAATTATTGCCCAATGTAATGAAGCAAGTCCCGATTCAAAAATTTATACATTGAGAAAACTTGAATTTTAATTCAACAGCCTCATCTACTGAATGAGAACTTTGTTATGACATTTCTAAATAATTCTCACAAAATACATTAAGGCAAATAAGTCTTCCTAAATCAATCAGTTTATAACCAAGCATTATAAAGACACTGCTGTTAGATCTTGCTCGGTATTTTTCAAGTAACTGAAGTGTCTGCAACAAGCACAGAAATGTTACAGAACTGTTACAAGTTATAATTCCTATTCTCAGTTTATAAAAGCCAACCAAAAAAAACCCCAAACACCCCAAAATATCTATACAGAGCAATGCCTATAACATTATCACTAGGTAACAGTTAAAGAAATTCCATTGATCCGCTGAGGTCACAGACAACACAGCCTATCAAAAATATTATTTCTGCACAAAGTCCTTTTCCTTCACATGACCACTAAGCAAGTCAAAACCTTCACTGAAGATTTTCAATATTAAAAGTGCTTATTAAATAATACATGAAACCGAAAGGGAAGATCCAGGTTAAAACCAAAAAACCTTCTGCTCTCAAGTCAAATTAGCCAAGCTTACTTCATGTTTTGCCAGCACTCTCCACAAAGACTTCCGTCTTGTCACCTTCCCTCAAGCTAAGGTCTGCCAGCAGATGTTCCAGTAGACCCTAAGATGATGCTGAAACACCTGGGAAATCCCTTGCATATACTTATGTCTAAGACTGCTGCTAAATGTGTTCTTGTAGTCCTGGCTCAGGCACAATGTGACAGAAATCCTGCTGTTAGCAACTGCATCGGATGCTGTGACTGATCACTTCTCCTTAAGCCACAGATCCATAAAAAAAAAGCTGTGACTTATCAAGCCATCATAAAGGTTTACCACCACAAAAAGCCATCCAGATGTCTACCTTCAGAAGGGAGCAACTGCCTTCTGCTTTGGTACACAAGACTAAAAGAAGTCTTCTGCCAAGTGACAGTAACAGAGTAGAAGTTGATAGACCTCTGGTGCATTTGAGAAGCTCATATATTACTGTTTTATTCCACAGGTGTAGTTCCACGTGACTGAGAAATGCAGTTCCAGTAATTCTGTAAAAGTGCTAGTAAGGTTTTCCAGCATGTGCTACTTGCTTCTGTAAGACATGAGCCTGACCATTTTAAACAGCAACCAAAAGGAAATATTTCACACATGTAGGGCTACTCAGAGTCTCATTCAAGCTGTGCTTGAGGTTGGAGGGCCTGAGTGAGCTGCAAGTCCCATGCACTTCAGACACCTGCTGAGGACAACAGACACTGTCTCCCCTGAAGACCATTTTTATTGAGGGCATTTACAACAGTTGTGGTCTTTCGTTTCAAAATCTCCTTGAAGGCACAAACACATAAGCCACAGTTGCCAATACCGAAGAACACATGCTTAGGCAAATGAAACCTTTCTAAAATACTGAACAAAGAACGAACGGTGGAAAAAAGATCTCAGTGCATTTTATAGGCCAAAAGTGGACTTTCAGGAAAGCGTATTGCAAAAATATAAATTTAAAGAGACTCTTTAAAAAGGCTACTCGGGGCATTCTTTTTAATTATTATTTTACAACTAGTAATAATAAAGCTAGCATCACATTTGAATTCTAGCAATTGAGACACATAGCCAAAAAAGCAAGTGTCATTTATCTAATAATTCTTCTAAGTCTGCAATAGGAATATCTACATCGAAACAACTGTATGGGTCTGTTACAGCTGGCAGCAGAGAAGGAAAAAAGGCTATTAACACCACACATCTGGAAGCATAAAGGAACACATGCACCTGAGAGACTGACAGATGGGCAACCATAATATGGGTGTCGGCAGCAAAAACTGGAATGAAATGTGTAGGGCAAGTGATCCTCATTTTCTTATCGCACTACTTACATAAACACTTTGCAACTCAAAGCATTTTGCCAGTCACCCAGAGGAATCATTTCAACTGCAAGTGAAACCACGGTGCTATTTCTAGAATGGAATTTAGAAACATGTTAACATCACACAAGAAGGGAAAAAGAAGAAAAAAAAAAAAAAAAGGCAGGGGGAGGAAATCAAACAGCTTTAAACCAGAAAAGTACCATAGGGGTTTTCAAGCAGCCTGGAAGAGCTGTGGAAATCTTACTGTCTAGAAAGAGTAATGAGGATTTCTCTTCCACAGCTCATCTGAAATACTAGCACATCATCTATGAAACCATACAGCTCTTCAGAGAATAGCATGCATAAATCCAGATATTAACCAAAAAAACAAAAAAACAAAAACCAAACAAACAAAAAAAATCAGGTTTTTGGAAAATTCTCAGCCAGGCACTAATCAAGACTGAACTGACATACTTTTCAAATAATAATTTTCTTGATTCAGGAATATGTCTTGAGAGAGAACTGTAAATACATAAAGACAACCATAATGGTTTAACATTCTATATTTCTCCCATTTTGTCACAGGACTGAAACTGCTCTAAGACAGATATAAGAATTAAGAACACTTTCCTTAACCATGTCAGTCTTGGAAAAAAATTACATTTTCTTTTTGGAAGTTGCACCATAAACTATGGATTACAAAAACATAAAACAGAATAGCCACTCCAGCAAACTTTTTTAACGTAGCTTAAGGAATTCTTGCTGGAAGACTTAATTAAAAAGACAGCACCTGGCTGATGAAAATAGTTTTATGCTTATGTGCTCTTACAGTGCAGATTTGATAGCAATCTTTAAGTTTCACTTATATAATCACTAAATCTGAATTTAAGAGTTACTTTACCAGAAGCAAAGCAATTGTCCCACTCCCCCACTAAACAATGATACATGATGGCCCATCAAGGTTTCTAAAAAGCTTTAAACAATTGCTAAATAAAACCCACGTTTACAGATTACAACAACATTATCGATTTTTTTGTTCAAGTTAAATTTACTCAATTACTGTACTGAAAATTTCACAGATTACTAAAGAGCTTCAACTTAAAGACAGCAACCTTACTGCCTGTGGAAGAGTTCAAGAGTTTTTCTTACAACTTGCACATCTCCACAAGAACCACACTGCATCAGCATTCACCTGACAGTCATGAGCTCTAGCTGCCAAAAGAAAGAAGTGGCGGATACAAAAAAAAACCCCAAAACTGTGGTAGTCATAATGTGGTATTATTGGCAAAACTTAAAAGTTTGCAATGATTTGGAGGAGACCTGAACTTTCTCCTAAAGCAAAAGGCTTAAGAGCCTAATTCT